AAATCACTGATGGTGCCGCACGCGGAGTTGTGCACAATGAAGACATTTGAGATTTGGCGTCGACAGCACAACTAGTTCTGACTGCCAGAAAGAGCAAGAGCCACGAGCTTGTTGAATGAGATCATTGGCCTCCCTTTGAGCAATGACCACTTGGAGAGTGATCTGTGTGAACTCATGATATTGAAGGACAGACATGTGAAGACGACTGGAAGACCATTGGACAATCACCTCTTGATCACGATGCTAATGTAGAAGACTGTGGGTCTATTGCAGCAGCACCTGCGTTTGAATGTTCGTAGCATCAACACGTTTAATGAAACATTGGAGAATGTTTATAGTTATACCAGGAGCAGGCATCTGACTGTGCCGCGTGGCGGGATTGACCACCAAGGCCAAGCCGATATGGATGTAGGTGCTTTGAAAGGAAAGAAAGGATGGAAAGGAAAAGGAATGAAAGGTGGAAAAGAAATTTACAAAGGCAAAGGAAAAGGATTCAAGGGAAAAGGAATGTTTTCATATAAAGGAAAAGGCAAAGGAAAGAAAGGATACAAAGGTAAAGGACAAGGACTGACAAAGGTAAAGGAAAAGGAATGAGAGAGAATGAAAGGAAAAGGGAAAGACAAGGATGTTTTCTGTGTGGCGACCCAAACACTGGAGCAAGGAATGCCCGAACGGAGGTAAAGGTAGAATGTCAACCTTCGCTGGTGAAGAAAACCAGCAAGAAAATCAGCAAGAAGAATGGAATCAGGATTGGAATCAGGATGATGAATGGTACTATGACGATTGGACATGGGATGAATCGGATTGGAATTCTGGTTGACGACTGGTCCGGTGATTGGTCTGGTCTTGGTTCGATGACGACTGGAGTTATTGGCCTGAGGACTGGTCCTGGAACACTCAGGATTGGTGGACAACTGAGTTTCCGCAAAGCTCGAATGGTGCCACGAGCTCAGCTAATGTCCCGCCAAGAATGAACCACCACAGAATGTTTCCGCTGTGGCTGTCGAGCCTTCGGATCAGAATGCTTCACGGGTCGCGAAGACTGTCAGAGGAGCAAAGCCTGGATTGACGACGAATGGGTTCGTTGGGGCTTGCCTGTTGATTAGCGCACTGAGTTCCGGAGTGCCTCCAGTGCCGACTGCGAGTGTGCCGCAAATGGCGCAAATGCCCGAGAGTGTTCCGAATGCGTTTGAGGACAGCCTTGTGGAGTTTCACAGTTTCACATGCAGGCTGGACTGGTCGACAAGACTTGGATATTGTTCGACAGTGGTGCTTGCGCACATTGTTGTCCTGAATGGTTCGCACCGGAATATCCGGTCTTGCCCTTGAATGAGATTGCACCGTCACTGCGGAGTTTGTCTGGAAAGACACTGGACGTGCAAGGTCGAAAGATTGTTCAGCTTGACTGTGGCAATGGCCACTCGTTGAGTGTTCAACTCTATTGGTGCACTGGCACCCCGTTTCCACTTGTCCGTGTTGCATGACTGTTGTGGCAGCATTTCTGGACTGTAATGGCAATGGATTACCTTGCGCTATTGACCTGACTGGCAATCCTGTGCCGATGGTTCGGCAAGGAACATGGGTGTATCTGACGCCGACGGTCATTCCTTTCGCCGTGGCAAATGAGACTGGCGGCGAGTTGTTTGCCAGAAGTAATGTCGGGAATGGCACAAGTTCTAGTGCCTTGGAATTGCGTGCAGTGTCGGACGCGCATGATTGTTCGATTGACCACCTGTGTCAGATTGGTGCCTTGATTGCAGCAGCTCAAGGAATGAAGTCTGCCGATGCGTCCCGATGGGACAGTCGCGCGGAATGTCGCGGATCTAACGAACAAATATGTTGCCACTGAAGTGTTGCAAAGATTGAAGACCCAACTGGGAGTGGTCTCCAATTACTCCAATTGGTTCAAGTATCTTGCCACTGATGCTCATCATACTGATGATCATGTTGATCATGCTGCTCCTGTGGTGACTGCTCAAATGCTTCCTCCTCCCCGACCGCCACCCTACTGGGAATGGCCTGCACTCCCTTCCTACCCTGCTTACCGCTGCACCCTTTTCTTCTCCGGATGGCCCGAAGACTGCCCCGAGAGTGTGGCAATGGCACGAGTGTCACTGGAGCCACTGCTCGAGGCAACCACTGGCGAGCAACTAGCTGTCGATTTGGCAGCTTTGAGTGGCAGCCCGAGGAGATCCAGAGTGAAGGTGTGCAGGCCTCTTTGGATCGATTGGCACTGGGCGAATCCTTTGTTCGCTCCAGTACAAATGCCGATCCGCAGCTGGCAGAGAATGGGAATGCCTCTGGCCCGGCGCAGCCGCCTTGGGCATCACTGGCACTGGGCACCATGCCGAATGCGCCCGGAGACACGACATTTGATGAATGAGCCAAATGCTCAGCACAAGCTCAGCAGTGAGTGTTGAAGTGTCCAAAGCTTTGACTGCGATGGATGTTGGACCTGAGATCACTCGGGTCTGGAATGAGCTGGACCACTTCATCACGACTGTGGTCCTGGTCCACAGTGCTCGCGAGAGAGTAATTGACTGGCCGACTGATCTCGCCGACCGAATGGTCAAAGCCCAGACTGGCCTGGCAGAAACCTTGTTTCGTCGAGAATGGGACGAGGTGACTGCGCCACTGCTGTCAATCTTGATGCTTGGCACCAGAGCTGGCGGATTGACTGCATGCCGGTTTGATCATCCGGACCAGCACAGCAATGGTCCGGCAAGCTCGTTGTGAATGAGACTGTCCTCACTGGGGATCGATGGCGTGGATAATGGCCCGAACAACTGGATGATTCAGTCCAGCTGGGTCACAATGACCAAGGCTAAGAGACTGTTCCTCACGAAAGCGAATTGGCATATGGAATGGCCTTCTCTCACTATGCCAAGGAGAATGCCACGGACCAGCTTGTGAATGTCTACGACTGGCGGTGCTTGCCACTGAGCAAGGCTCAGAATTTGTTCAGCGCTTTCCTTGCCATCAGCTGAATGGTTCTTTCGATGCACTGCCAGCACTGCGAAAGACTGTGCAATGGGCGAATCAAGAAGTTTTTGAAGCGAATGAGAATGCAGAGCCCATTGCATTTTTTGTGCTACGGCGCTCGAAGCTGGACGCATTGTGTCCTCGCTGTGATCAGCACCTACGAATGGGATGGCACTGGCGATCACCAATGGCGATGGACGATGAATGAGCCGTCGCTGTCGTCAGTGGGCATTGTGCGAGTGCCTGTGAGTGATCCAATGTGTAGCCCACGCCCAAAGCCGAATGGGCAGATACTCCTCTGCCTGAGTGAGATCATGGAACGGGGAATATTGGCTACCACGACCTTCCGAACCCTCGTGGAGTGGCGACTGATGGGGCACACAATGGTGCCGCTGAATCAAGCGATTAGTGGTGGATTGGAGCACGACTGTTCCACCGGGCGAAGGGCTCGAATGATCGCACCCCCGCCAATGTGCTGGCGATTGCTCAGCCTCGAATGCCCTCGAGCTCGGCGCCGAGATTGTCCTCCGGAAGAATGTGGCGGGCACTGTGAAGTGAGATCGCACTGAGATGGCGAGTGAATTTAGGAGTGCCCCTTGCGACTGCAACTGTTTTGCAATGTGAAGCTTATGTTGAAATGTTGGATGGATTTCTTCTCTGGATTGCAGAGAAAGAAGTTCTCGGATTCAGGGTGAATGAAGCATGAGCCGACTGTCCGCGTGTTTGCAAAGCACAATGCAAACCTGGCCTCCGACTGCTTCGAATGCTTTTCCTGAGTCGAGCCAAAATCACCAGAATGAAGCCCATGTCTTTTCGCATCTTGGAGTGCTACTGTTCCGAATGTTCTTGATCGCTTCGCGAATGTTGCCATATAGTTGTGTATGATGATTAAATGTTTGAATGGTTCTCGACTAAAGTCAGAACCCAGGGACTGTGTTAAATGTAACCAGCCCAATGTCACACCGAATGATCATGATGCCCTATCGAATGCTACAATGCCGAATGACATTTGGCTCAAGACAGGCTTGACTGGCTTGGTCGCATAAAGGAATGCTTGCCTGACTGTGAAATATGCTGATCTTGGTTGCTCACAACTGTGCAGATCGTATAGTGGAATTTTGTACACTCACTCACTCAGTCACTCACTCACTCACAATCAGGCGACCTTCCCGAGCTCTTGCAAGCTGCAGCAAAAGTTTGCATCAACGTAGTTCATTTACCCACTCTGGCCATTCTGCATTTACAACACCAGCACGACGCGTGAAGAAGCTCTCACTCTCACGCATCTGGGGAACTTGCTTGTGGCGTTGGTGGCATTCTGCGGCTTCCGAGCACGCAGGGGCAGCCTGTCATAAACTGCATAGTGAATGCACTGAGCTTGCCAGAAGATCAGCTCGCTGCAGACTGACAGAACAGGGTGTCGCAGAGCCACAAACCGCTAGAGCCTCGTGCTCCTCTCAGGCTCATTGCGAATCTGTTCCGAGCCGACCTCCTTTGGGGTGAAACCCTATGCAGGACCTATCGCTGCTCTTTGGCGCATCTCGAAGCGGCATAGCCGCCGCCACCACAAGCATCATTGGCATATCGCATTTCCCTCATGTGTCGGACTGCTTCTTGTACTCGGACTGGAACTCTTTGAAGAAGACCGTAGCCGCATGTCCGAGGGACCGGCAAATGTCACCGGCTTTTGCGAAAGGGGCATCTTCGGGCAACTGTGCACACCAAATCCCAGCGCCAGCGCCGATAGGGATACTGAAAGTGCTGATGATGGGCAGATTTGTCAGGGTCAGCCCGCCTGCGATGGCACCAATGGCTGCCGACCCCAACATGATCCGCAAACCACCAGCTCGTTCGACGGCCGCCCCAGCGCTTGAGGTCGAGCTCAGGCCAAGTGCAGCAGGCCCATGGGCAAGCAGCAATGAGCAAAGCAGCAAGGCAACTCCGAGCCGACGGGTCCGCCTTCGAATGGTCAGCTCCGCCATCTGTGCCCGAGAACCAGGCTAAATGAACTACCAGTTTCAAGAAATGAGCCAGCTGCGCAACGATGTCGACTTCCATAGCCCGGGTTGCCGAAAGCATGCTTTCTGAGAACATGAATCTTGGCAGGCAGACTTGGCTGTCGGAATTACCCTGCTCTCCGCCACAGTCTTTGCAGCCTGCAGTACAAGCATCTTCGGGTGCGTAACACAGTATGCGCTCTGAACAAGGCCTCTTGGTCAGCGGTGGGCACCAGCGCCAAAAGATCGTCTGACGCAGGCGAAGCAGGCGAATCTGTGAAGCTCTGACAGCTCTTAGGCAGAATGGCAAAACCTCAGGAGGCAACAGAATCTCTGATCAGGTGATGTGGTCAGGTAATGTCAGGTAGAGACTCTGTCATTTTGGTTCAGTTGTCGAGCCTCCCGAACTCCTATGCCTATGATAGATGCAAGAAATTCTGAATATGCCTCAGGAGCCATTCTTACTCAAGAATCCCTCTGGCATCCTTGAGCGGCAGCAGGTGCCTAATGCATCGACGATTGCTTGGAGGTTGCGGCGGGCAGTGCGTACTGATGCAGTGGGGACGCGGCCGTCAAACCTTCGAGGCAACATGCTTCCCGTAGCTGTTGCAAGGCATTGCAGGGTTGTGATATGTTGTGATGTGCCTCGAGAGCAGAAGGAACTGAGAGTCCTCCTGGCAGTCATGTCACATTTGTCACCAAAGCCCAAAATTAAAGGCTCGGGGCGGGCTCAGCTGCGCTCATCCTCCGACTCGCTCCTCGTCAAGTGCTCGCCTGACCCGGTCGTACTCGGTGTCCGCCGCACCGTAGTCTTCGGTAGTGTACTGTCGCAGCGTTTTTTGACAACTCTGGCTAGTGGCAAAGCGAGGCGATCCTTGACCCATTGCTGAACTCGGAAGAGCTCCTTCCGCAATCTTCTGACGGGCTCCTGGCACGTCTGCAAAAGCTGTGGGCAGGCGTGCATTTATTTGAAGGGGGCCTTTTCGTGCTGTATAACTCGTGGTCGTGTGCGGAATGCCGGCAGTGGGACACTGTTGTTGCAATACTTTCGCGCAGTGCCACTGTCCTGTTGTACAACTTTTACTCCAAGCATATTCCAACTGCAGATGCCTCTTGTAAGTCTTGTTTGTCTCTAACGAAGGTCTTTGGATCAACCGTCTTCAGATGCCAAGCCTGTGAGATGTCCCACCTAGCATCTAGGACCTAGCCCTATGTGCTTCCACAAGATGGCACTGCGTACGGAGCCTGCGCTAAGTCCTGTGTAATTACTTCTGCGTAGCTTTGAAGGTGGGCGTATGCAACCCGGGCTGCCCAAGAATGACTTGGGCGAAAGAGGACCCACAAAATTCTGGCTAATAAACTTTGCTGTTGTGAGCGTTCGCAAAGAGCACTGGCAGTCATCGCGGTTGACGTTGCGCAACAATGCGTACGTCTCCGGGTTGTTGACATCCACCTCTGCGCAAAAAAAACGGGCAGAAGGTCTGCAGCCCTGTCGTGATGGTCAAAAGGACGACTTTTGCTGCCCTGTCGTCCGGAAATGCCACGGAGTAAATGTCGAAAATCGAAAATGCATCACGCTACTGCGACAGCACACTTCGACGAATGCCTGCAAGATGTTACCAGTACCGTATATACTTGCCGTCGACTATCCCACCCAACTGGTTCCCTGCATGCTACACATGCCATGCATCTTGTGTTTTGTGACGGACTGTGGCGCTGCAATTGCCAACCGAGTACCATGCCTGCAAACCGCATCCGTGAGGAGTTGGTCATGACTGATAACATTATCTGCTGGATGGTCTTATTGTCTGCTTCTCATGGATGCCTTTATCGAAACCCGGCAGAAAGAAAGACAGAAACGAACAAGCCGAGCAGGCACTTCTCTGTGACCATTGGTTTTTCTCGCACTGCACAGGTAACACCCCATCCCCGCCTACCAAGCCCCAAAGTGCCAGCTAACATCGGGTGCGCCAAACACCTGGAAGTTTAAGTACTGTCTGGCAAACACATCTGCATGACCTGGCGCATCCCGACAATGAAACTGCAGGCAACGGATTGCCCATTGCTGCATTGCCTGAAGAATCCTACACCTAACGCACCGCCTGTGAGATGCCTTCTGCAGTCCATGCGATCTGGCATGCGCATCTGACACCACATTGTTGAAACGTGGGGGCACAAAGCGGCGCTCACCCCGAAAAGCCCCAAGAACGTGTGCATCACGTTCCTCACTGGTCACATTGGCAGTCGTTCTTACCTTGCCCGACGGTCAGGAGGTGTGCAAGTGCGAACAAAGCTACTCCTGTGTCAGGTGCCTTCTGCATCCTTCTGCATAACTACTCGAATGCCGCTCAATCCAAACTCGTAGCAGTTTGAAGCGCTGTGGTGAACCCCGCAGCCAGTAAAGTTGTACTTCTCCCTATGCGAGCCTCCTGCCACGCTTTGCCGCGCCACCGGCCGGAGCAGCAGGGCGCTTGGTGCCGGCCTTGGCAGCAGCCTGCAGGCTCGATGCACGCTCGGCGCGAGGGTCTGGTTCTCATGGATCTGTGCCCGAAGCCTTCGCGCCGCCCTTCTTCTTGTTCGGATCGAACCTCCCAAAGAAACATACCATCGAGCTCACACAAGCTCAACTGTGGTGGACTTGGGTAGCTGCTTGTCTGACTCCTTGATCTGCACCTGTCATGTGAAAGAGTCATCGTGAAAGGGAACTTGAAAGACCAGCCATGACTACAACAGCTAAACTGAGTCGTTGTGTGGACTTGTTGCAGCTATTGCAGAGCTTCATCTGTACCACATGTTCGACTCTTGCTCAATGCCAGGACTGCGATAGGAGGACAGCTCATTCCGTGTATGCACAAGCCCGTGCTTTTAGGCCACTTTGCGTGTGTTCATGTTTCGTACCCGCGTGCGTGCACGCGTGCGTGTGTGTGTGTGTGTGTGTGTGTGTGTGTGTGTGTGTGGGTGTGGGTGTGCGTGTGCGTGCG